AAAAAATGTTTACAATTATCTTACTTTCGAATATAATAATCATTCCAGAGGTATAATACATTAAGATCAATATGGGTAATCAGTCATTTATTTCTCCATTTTGTTAAGAGTCGCATTAATACCAATAAAATCACTTATTTTACTTTTATTTCGAAATACAAAACTTATAGAAGACTGGTCTCATTAGTGATACAGAAATACTCATATATTCTAAATATTACGTACTATACCACATCAGTCGTTCCTTTCGAGATATATCAAACAAATCATTTAGTAAATCGTCATACATCCAGTCGCAGATTTCTGCCCAAGCGCACACAGTGGTCACGAAGCCGGCACCCTGTTGAGCGCAGCGTGAGTAGCAATAGCGTAGCCGTCCATCCAAGAAACTTGAGTCTTTACCTCCACCTCCGCCCCCTCCCTCTCCCCCGCCATTTTTAACCCCTGGGCGTGACCCTGTGCATTTGAGCGTTGCCGCCTCTGCCGCAGGCTAACTCAACGCCGCTTCTGCGTGCCAACCCGCCTTCGCGAGGGACGTGAGATATTGCTACCGATCGGCGCAACCATTTCCTTGAGAGATGGTCTACACAGACTGCACAGCCGCTGCTGTTTCATGAATCTGTAAGGGCATTAAATGTTGCCAGGGATCTTTTTAAATCTTTCCTGACTACTTGTATTTGGTAGTGAACGCTAAATAAATAATCTAAGTTTTCAATATTAGTGCTCACAACTGTCGGGTCTTGTAAATAATAAATAAAAATCGCCAGAGAAATAATTATCCAGTAATGAACAAACCTTTTACAAACAATTGAAATAATTACATAAAACCTCCAAATTGAAGACTTGAAGTGTACCAGATAATGACAGTATCATCTCCAAATATTATCAATCGCGATCTTATTTCAATCAATACAAATATACGGAATTTCTTAAATAACTCGGTTAAAGTTAAGCACAAAGTTAGAAGTCATACTACACATCATATTTAGTTGAAAGTAATCGTATCCACAAGTTTTATTAAAGAAAAAACTAATGTTTCTATTTTCTGACCTCCATATTTGTTCACTGCGGGATTCATGAGTTAATGTTGCCTTGTGTACTAAACTTCTACATTACCTTTATGACTTAGCATATGTGCCTCATTTCCACGCGTCCATATTTCGCTTCATGCGTTAAATCTCCATATTACCTAAAACTGTAGTTTAATTCACGAAATCAAGACTTCAATGTACGAACTAAAACTTTACAATGTCCACCTTTAGGCACCCAAATTGGTCAAATAGACTAATATGACTCAAAATAGATCAACATTTGAAGAGGGTTTGTAACTGTAATAGAAATTTAATTGCCACTAATCTAATAAAAGAAATTTCACTTTCAGCCTCGTAGCCTCCAGGTTCCTCGCTTCCAAATTAATTGTGACTTTTGATCTCGTATCGTTTAATGTTATTTTAAATACATTGTTTATTATCGACACAGACTCCCATTCAACCAACACTACATCGTTCAACATTGTTTTCCCGCCGACCGTTTCTCGGTTCTTCGGCGCTCCTCTGTGTGATTACACAAAGCACGCAACAGGAGAGAAAGAGGCACCTGAGATATCGCGGCACACGCAACTCTTGCACTACTTTAACGGTAGAATGTGGTTACTTAAAATTATCAAGAGCTCTGAACTAAAATATTTGTATGTCATTTGTTTGTTAGACAATTCACCACTCACGTCAGATGCAATGTTGCGGGCAGATTGCGTAAATTTCTCAATTAACCATCACGGATATTAGCGAAAGTTCTACAGATTTCTGAAGTGTAGCAGATTTCATGTCGTCTCTAAATTAGGATACATTCATTCAATATTCGTTTCATGTTATTCCACACTATCATTCATGACTTATTGTCTCATCTATATTTTCCACATACTAAAAGTAGAGGTTTATCACGCAAACGAGAAGCTTAGTTCAAGACTTCCCAACGTTTCGCGGCACTCCGGCAAACTTTGTACCGGTTCGCTGTTGCGGTCAACCCACAGTGGGGCGCCCGCTCTGCGCACGCAAACCCGTAAGTGAGATATCGCGAGCGATCGACACGTCGCCTGCACCACAACGGCCGGTTCTATTAAATTGGCAAGCGCTCTATGAACAAAAATGTCTGTATGTTATGTATAGATTAGATACCGACCCACTCGTGTCAAACGAGACATTGCAGACGAATCATGTGACGGCTCAAAATGGCAAAGAACCGTTATCAGATATTTACGGGGAAACATCTGTGCCGCTCCTACCCCTGATTATCCCAAAATAAGGACGCCCTTTGCCTGTTTCGTGTCTATATTCTTTGGAGCGCTTCGTTTACAATTAAAAGCAAAAGTTGTTCTTTATAACTCGGGCCGTTCTTTACCCATGTGCAAAACTTCGTGTACACGCTCTGTACACGTGTCCGGTTGCCGTCAACTCACCGCAGGGTCCCTCACTCTGAAATGGGGAGAGAGCGGCGAGTGAGATATCGTGAACGATCTGTACTGCCATCTCCCTGAATGCAGCAGAATGCTACAACATGCTAAAATATTACCATGGAATTTATACATTAGGTAAGGAACCGTTAATGCCAGATGAACTGCCGGAGAAAATTCATGTGCATTTCTCAAAATGACAAAAATGTCATGAGAACTGCAAAAAAATATGGATATTTTCAATCGTCTTGACTTCAGGTTCCACTCTGTGGAATCTGGAACTTCAGGATCCAATCGGTGGAACTGACTCCAAACTCTGTGGAGCCGTTCCAAAATGAAGATTCGCATTGCTTCTTTTCACATCTCTCCAATCCCTTCATTTACCATCGTAAGCAAAGCTAATACCACATCACATGCGGCTTTCATCACGCGCCCCTGCGCATCACGGGCGCTCTCTGTTCACGTCCGCAGCTGCCGCCAACCCACCGCACTGCCGCCGCTCCGCTCACGCAAGCGGAGTGCGGGCGGCGAGTGAGATATCGCCAGCGATCGGTAGAACCACCTCCGCAGCCGGTTCTATTAAATTGCCTTGCGCTCTGAATGTTTCATTTCCGTGCATTCCTGCCTACGGAGGGGGGGGCGGGACACTTTGTAGCTTCGTCGGCGGATACGTATAAGGAGCTTGTCACCGCCGCGTCGTGCCGCTGCCGATCGCGCCCTGTTGTGCCGGGTATTTCTTTACCCAGCCGGCGCGCTATCAATTGATGTAATGAGCGTTCGAAATATGTATCTATCTCCGCGCTTTATATTTAGATCCGGTTTCTAATCGTGCCGGTCGAAGCGACGTCATCAATACCGGCGGAGAGTTTGTTACAATGAAACGATACGCGATGGAGCGTCGCGGCGTCTTTTGCCCGGATGGCGGTACATATAACGAGCGCGATCTATAAGCAGGGAGGAGTTGTAGACTTCTTGCTTGTCAGTGCATTCTTGCGCGCTTCCGCGGTGCCTACCCAGTTGTCCGCTCGCGCCGTCTATTACGCGCTGGAATTGTTTCCTTGTCCTGGGCTCGAGCGCAGCTTCCTGAAGCCTGCGCTAGGCAACACGTTCGACAGCTGTGTGCGGCAGGAAAGCTTTGGTGTAAGAAGCTGAAGGGTACATTTTGTCTACAACGAGGCGACAATATTTGAAGTACTCGACCGAATAAATGCTGTAAAGTTTATTCAAAAAATTACCTTAGTTCGATGAAAGATTTATTTGAGTACTGATGTCACTTACAACAATTATAACACTTTTTAGTAAGCGAAAGGAATGTTGGCAGAAGCGAACCTGTGTCAATTCTACTATAAAAATTGAAAAATTTCGTTTATTTCCGCTTTTTTATTGGTACCAAAACCAAATTGTTTAAAAAAATACTTTCAAGTATTTACCGGCGTTCCCCATTTTTTCCTCCCGTAATAAAATCAGCAAATGCTTAATTTCCTATGCTTCTCGTCAGTAAATACATCTTTACATCTTTCATTCTTGTCGATAAATAAAATGTCTTGTTCTTTTGTATCCAGATTATTACATAATATTCTACACGAATTCTAAGATACCTTTTATTTAAGGTGTTTTAATGCATTTCAAGTGCTGAAACGCAGTCAATTACTATGTATTCTGACGGAACTTGGATCGTAACGATTGATCCAATTGTAACGAGAATTGTACTTCATTTTCTTTCTTCAGAAGAAAAAATTACTGTAAATTATCGAGACTTTCTAGAAACTTTCTCTGTTTGGTATTGGAAGATCCAGGCAACTGTGTTGTGTTTATTGTTTTGTTATTATCATGAACTTGCGTAGCACAAAAAATGTTTTTAACGTAAAGACAGCTACCAGACGGCACTTCTGAACTATTAATAATAATTAATAAAACTTAATTAGTATAACGTCAGTCACATCAGTTTTAAATTGTTGAAATTTTGTCAAACAACGGATACATTTGTCATTTCAAAAGACGTACAATATATAGTATATCTTTACATATGTAATTTAAAAGTACCTAAAATTTAAAAAAGGTAAAAATAAAGTATTTTGAAAGTTGTGTAATATCTCTAACGCGTTACAAGAATATTGCGAAGAAATGAGAATCTGATTTTTCCTGTTTAATATTACCGGCTTCATTAGAGCTTCATATACTTCATTTAAAACTGTTGCTAGTGCTTATACCCCAAAGATTCAAGTAGCTTCAGACTGAGAAAGGAAACAAGTTTGTGGAAACACGTATTTCAACATACTTTATCAAAACGTCATGTATGAATTAAATATCGCTTCATTCATAAATTTACGAACTAGTGAATATACAGATTAGGTTTACGATAACTGAATTACACTGCATTGAAAACAGTGATTTATTATTTGGATCTAAATATTTGTTAAATATAGACCAAACAGATTTTTATGCGACAAAAATCTTACATATTTATACTGAAATATTTTGAATTTTTTAAAACTATTTCTAACAGACTTCTACAGCTATCTACATTAAAAATTGCAACAAAAGATCTTACCTGGAGTTGGTAATATTTGCTAAGAAATCCATGACTTGATCTGGAGTGACGATGCCGTCGGAGTCCTGGTCAACCAGGCGAAACAGCTTATCCACCACCTGCAGCACACGGAAGCACAGTTAGGCACGCTCCACAGACCACGAAAGCGAACGCCGTCCATCACTCTCTCGAAACTCAAAGTCAACGACTCCGCCAATTTCCTTCACTCTACCTCTTCTAACCTTCGATTCACACAAAATACAATCCAATAAACACACTTACACAAAGTTTATGTCATTGTGAAAAACTGATTTTCGTTGGCGAACATTACCCATTAGCCAGTCGTCGTTAGATCATCCTAGAAGTATGGTCCGGTGAGTAACTGCGTGTTCGAACCGGAGGTCTACACCGTGTTTTGTGGCTGGAGGCGGTGGGGGGGGGGGAGTAAGAACGCGCCAAAGACGGGGAGAGCGCAAAGAGGGTTTCCTTTGGGGGACGCGCAGACGGGGGCACGGGGGCATGTGCGAAACCACCGCTGGCGGCCAACGCCGGCGCAAATTACAGTTCGCGGGGGGACCAGCCTGCTCGTTACGAGCCGGCCATTGTCCCGGGGGCGACGCTGGCGCCGAGGGTGCCAATTCGCGGAACTACCGCCGGGCCGCCCCAGTTACCACTGCACAGCTCGGTGCGGCGCGGCGCGGGACGGGGCGGCGTGCTGTCACGTGCGCGGGGCACGTACCGCACGTTGCCGCGCCGCCCCGGCCGCTCGGGCACGTGCGCTGCGCTGCCGCAGCAGCAGCTTGTGGCGACGCCGTGGTGACCAAGGGAAATTAGCCTGCGGTTGAGCGAAGGGGTCAAAAGGCTTGGCAAGGTGTCGATGAAGTGATATTACAATATGATTCACCGAGTAAAAGTTGTGAGAAAAAAAGTAAGTCAATATTAAAGAAACAAGACGTATCAAGTTGATTCAAAGAATAGCTGGGAATTATATATTATATACTTTCCATGGATATCAGCAATTAGGATATGTTAGGCTAATCAATCTCAGGAATAGAGAAGGAAAAAGAAAAATTATAAAAATAAATGAAACTAGAGATGTAACATTCACGCGTTATATGCAACTGCTCCGCTTATTTCATTTAAAAATTTATTATCATATTCAAAGATCTCACAAGAGCAGATTTTCTTCAATATTGTAGATGTAAGAAGACGTAAAAAAATGACCCGTTTGCTGTTTGCAATTTCCAAAAACCAGAGATTTTAACGGAAATGTATTCTGCGCCATTTTTAAAACGGTCATTACTCTGCTCTAAGGAGAAAGATTACACAAATAAATTCGCGTATTTAGTTTTTTATAATATTTCATGTAAAGTGTTCACACAAAAATCATCCATTTCAAATTCCCATTGAGTTCTGCGAGATCAGAGAACATCGTCAGAACTGTTTGCGACAAGTTTGCGATAGCGTTGGCCATATACGGACAAATAAACAAAGCCAATAATATTTTGCCGTATACCAATTTTTCGGTACGAAGGACCCACAAAATGTAGATTGTGAATACCCAACGTGTTAGAGGAAGTAATCTACTGAATACGGGAACACGGTTTCTCCTCTTTTTAGACATCAGAGTTATCAGTTTAGATATCAGAGACAAAACGAGTTTTTCTGATGAAAAATCGTCACTCGTCGCTGCAACCTTGCAATTCTTTATCTTTATCACGTAAGGATGTAGTTTGACAAGAAAATAAAAAAACAGGAAGTAGTTTTGTGTGGAGTAACTATCAACAGTACAAATTTATACAATATCACATTTAGAGTTTGAAGCAAGTACTACTGGATCTCCCAACCAGTCTTTGCGGCACGAGGATTAAATCATGAATCTTTAATGATATAATAGTGAATTAATGCAGTAACTCAAACCAATAAATTCCTTTTAGAATAGCCAATTATTTTCCATTAATAGTATCTTTATCGCTTTTTGCACCATTTTCAATAAACTTAAGAATTGCTCATTTTTTACAAGTATTTTACATTCCTTGTTGACTGTCGAATTATGATTAATTCTCCTCAAAGAAATGGTTACTTGATAAGTTATTATTTGTTTTCCACTTGGAAATACTTTAAATCCCCATTCTTTCATAATGAAACCTGTCTAATACATGGTAATTCTCTTGAGCATTACCTCTAGAATTCTAACACTTGTAATCTATTACCTCAATAATTTATGGTATTATGCAATTTATTTCCAATACCAGATATTAAACTTCTTTTTAGTCGATAATTATAACATTAACAAATATGACATTTGTAAACTAGTTTAATTGGAACAAATGACCTATCTCTACTTCAAAGAAACATTAATTGTGTATTAATTCTTGGAATTCCATTTACTGAACAGAAGAACAAATATGGTGAATGTATCATTTAACACGTGAGAAATATTCAATTTTTTCATTCTTGTAATACCCTCTGACAAGTAGTTATCCACTAAAAATGATAATATATTGAATGATAATTCTCGCAATTTATATAGAGATGAATAAGAAATTAAATACAGATGAATGAACATTAAGCAATTATTGATAAATTTCGAGGAGTAATAATACAATTCCTGGATCATGACCAGCAAATTCCAGTTTCGGGAGGCAGAACACTAAACCAGAGTGTGAAGGATTATGCATTCATTCATGTTCCAATGTAAACTAGGTTGCAGCATTCGCCTAGTGTTGATTGGAGAAACAACGGAAAACTCAGAGCAGCTGGCCACTACAATTCTCCTCCAGACTCCTGGTTGAATTTCTCGTAGCTAGTGTCGAAAATATGGCACTGTTTGAACTGGAACCTTTGGACCTCCCAGTCAGATCGCTGTAGAATAATCGGATATGCTAGGCTCAATCAGCCAGTTCTGCTCGTACAAAAAGCGGGGCGGGAGCGGGGCGGCTTCCGCCGCCGTCCCGCCCGCCTTCCGCCCCGCTCACCGCGCCGCTCCCCGCCCCGCTCCCGCCCCGCTCCCGCCCGGCTCCCGCCCCGCTCCCGCCCCGCTCCCGCCCCGCTCCCGCCGCCGCTCCCGCCCCGTGCCCGCCCGCTCCCGCCCCGCTCCCGCCCGCTCCCGCCCCGCTCCCCCGCTCCCGCCCCGCTCCCGCCCCGCTCCCGCCCCGCTCCCGCCCCGCTCCCGCCCCGCTCCCGCCCGCTCCCGCCCCGCCCCGCCCCCCTCCGCCTCCCGCCCCGCCCCCTCCGCTCCCGCCGCCCCCTCCGCTCCCGCCCCGCTCCACGCCCGCTCCCGCCCCGCCCCCTCCCGCTCCCGCCCCGCCCCCTCCGCTCCGCCCCGCTCCCGCCCCGCTCCCGCCCCGACTCCCGCCCCGCTCCCGCCCCGCTTCCCGCCCCGCCTC